GACCGAGCGCGTAACCCAAATGTGATGTTTACGCTGTTCCAATCCAGCCTGATTCAACTAATGTCAAGAGGCCCATTCGTTACACTTATGTTATTTCTATTCTAGAGAAGACGTCATTTCATAATGGTGCCTTTTTTTTCGTTTGGGGGGGGGGCATTCATTGGGTGCTTTCAGCTGTCGTAAAGTGATAACCTACTTCTTTAACACGTGATTGTGCGATAGAGGTAAACAGCAAATGACTCACACTCGTGTGCACAATGTTCCGCGGCTCCACGAGACGTCAAGTGCATCTGTATTTTCTCCTTTCCACTCTAATGTTACATTTGCGAAAACAACCTTGAAGTGGAAAAATCATCGGGACCGTTTGAGACTTCATTAAAAGAAAACTAGCGCGGCCTCTCCAAACAGGGCCTCTCCTCGGAAGGGGGAATTCAACCTTTGCACCTTGCTGGTGGAAAAAAAAAACAGGCATCCGAAGACGAGACGGAGCGAGCGCAAAACAACCTTGACTTTCATCAAGGAAATTCTCACATTGAATGATAAATAGAGGCCCGGGGGACGAGCCGCCAAGAAGCGGCTTATCGTCTTTCCCTCCCGAATTTGGCCACTCTGTCTCCTGCCTGGTGAAAGTCAACGCGGGGTGACCCGCTCGCACTTTACACCGGTTATTGTTCGGTAAATTAATCCACCGCGTGTAATCCGCGCAGAAACGTACAGACAAGGAAAACGGCTGTTGATTTGTTTAGTTTTAATTAACAGTCGAGATTGTTCATTTGTTACAACGGGGGGCTTACGGGCCCCTTTCTCATTAGCTGGGCTTTTCAAAACACAGACGCAGTTCTCATTACACCGACAGTTCTGCTTGAATCCAGCTCCAATGTTTAAAGAGGCTTCGCCTTCAAAAAAAAAAGTGGCCCGTCAGCGAGCACGCACTTTGGACGGTGACTTGTGTAACCCTGATGATTATCGGGACGTCCAGAGTACCTGCGGGCGCTACCGAAATAGCACGGCAACATAAGGTTAGGTAGATGATCTGAGAGCTAACCGACTTTCCTGCTGAGAGGACGTTAACCCGCCGGTATGCGCGTAGCGGTCCGGGACGGACGCACAGCCGCGCCGGTTTTCGGTCTGTAGCAGTAAAAGGCTCCGTCAGTTTGACGCCTGGGAGCTTCTTAGGGATCAAATGTGGCCATCGGCCATGTAGGATCAATGTATGCGTGGAAGAAGAAAAAAGGTCCCGCGTCTCTTGCATTCTTTCATTTGTCATGGTTGTTTTTTCTGTGCGTGCGTGTGACGGTCTGCGTTTGAATGGCTGACCGGTGGTGAGCGAGGGATGAGCAATCATGACCAGGGGTCTGTCTAACGTTAGTTCCTGAATCATTCGGTTAACACAGAGCAGACCTCAACTTCCTCTCTAGATTTCTCAGCTCCGTGTCAGCGCCAGCATGCAGAGATTTGACAGGGCTCCCAGATGGCCGTTATTATCAATGAATGGGGGCCAGTTAATCTCCGTCTAAATACAAAATGCTGATTAAAGTGGCGTGGAATATTTAGTATGGGAGTTATAAAAACACATGACATGGCGCTGCCGTTAAGAAATAAAGGTAAATTAAACAAAGGTGTGGTAAAGTAAGATATATTATGTTGTATGGTGGAAAATTCGGTACTGTGGTTCAGGGATAAGGGCTCAATAGGCTGCAAACTCACACTGTTAGCAATTAACAATATACTAATTTCTCTGGTTCTGTCTGCCAGTACTGATACCAGTATGGCCGTATACATACAAACGAGGCATTAATTATTCATGTCCTAACATGTACACCAAAGCTTTCTGCAACCAGTCAAGGATCACCACACTTTTGGTGACGGCGTTTACTTTGTTAGTACATTCATTGTATGTAGCAAGTGGCCCCGTAACTCATTAAAGCACCGGCAGTCGTTACGATGCACTCGTGTTTGCCTGATCCGTTCGCTGTGACGTCACTCGTCCTTCGCTCAGCGATACCGTAACACACTGATGGCTTGATCGATGCACAGCCATCGTGTACACCTAATAAATGTCACTTCACTTCATTTACAAAAGAACACAAACGATGGGTTTCTGCCACAGAAAAAAAAGAGAAAAAGGAGCCCTATATTCAATAGCAAAGGATTATAGAGAATATAGCCATGTGTGCACACGGGATTGTCTTCTCAAAAGCTGCCCAAGTTCTGTCAGATTCAGCACCCCCAGACACAGAGCTCGTGAACCTAATTTCACCTAATCAGCTTAGTCAACAGCAACCGTTTGCTGTGACTTTGGTAGACATGCAAATAGGGCTTAACCACGTCTATCCTTAATTCCTGAATGTTCAAGTCAAGCAGCCGTCCTCCTTTATCTCCTCAAAAACAACAGTTCCAATTTGAGAGAGAAATAAAGAGAGAGAGAGAGAGAGAGAGAGAGAGAGACCGAGATAGATGAAACTCAAGGCGAGAGTTGTGGTTTTTTTTGGCCTGGCCAAGAAGAGACGTCTCTGATTTGAGTGTGCTTGAGGTAACACAGTTTGCTTTCATTTCAAACCAACATGGCAAACAGAGTCTGACAGACTTGTTCCCCTTTCCTCCGTTTTGTTTTGCTCTCTCTCTCCCTGTCTCAAATTAAGAGAAAACACACTGAACAAACATATTACCACGTTTTGTTGGTTTGAAACTGCAGCTCTCTCTCTCACACACACATACGACCATGCAAATGAAGACAGGCGTCCTCAAACAGAGGACAAAATGACGCAGACAACAGAGAGTTATAATAGTGGTGGAAAACTGTCGAGACACTGTTCCGTTTCAATTCACTGATACCACTAATGGCTTCTTAGCAGCTCCATGAAATCAAGCAGCTGTCATGTCGATGCATCAGCAGCGAGAGGAGGGAGAGGAGCGAGAGGAGCGAGAGGAGGGAGAGGAGGGAGAGGAGGGAGATCCGTCCACCGCGCCTTCATGTTTGCCTAAACATCTGCTCCTCTGCACTCCAGCTTTGCAGCAATAAACGGGCAAACAAAAGAGGTGGGAGGTGAAATGATCAGATTTTCCATTTCAAAGCATTTGTTCCGTTTACCCCCCTCCCCTTGTCCTCTTTCTTGCAGGACACGGGGGAAGAAAGTGGATATCAAGTTTTAACTGTGAGGGACGGAGCGAATGCACGAGCGAAGATCACACCTTCTTTTCTCGTAAGATGGACGACGGGAATGAAACGAGGTCACCATTTTTTCCCGGAGTCTCCCGTCTAAAGTGCTGCAAACCGGTGGTTGAGCTCAGCCGGGGGGGGGGCAGAGGGGACAGGGGGGGGGGGGGGGGGGGTCGGCTGTGTCTGCGCGGCGGGGAGACGCACGTGCGAGTGGGCACGTCTTAAACACGTCAGTCATCAGTCAAACATTAATTCCACTGTGTGTAAACAAACACAAGTACACACACCAATAAAAGTGTATTTAAAGCCTTGATAATCGCGTCATTATTTCTAGGATGTCTGATCACTTGTTATTTACGTCTCGTTTTTCCCCCGTTTTTCCCTTCGTGGGATTCTTGGCATTTAATGTCCTTCCTTTCTCTCTTCCTTCCTTCCTTCCTTCCTTCCTTCCCTCCTCCTTCCTCGTGTCCCTCATTCATTCGCGATGAGTTGAAACAATAAAGGCAGCACAAAGTAAACTTTAGGGATCACGTTTTAACAACGTTGTATGCTCGAAAACGACACGACGGCTTTCGTTTCTTTCGTGCGCGCGTGTGTGTGTGTGTGTAGCACCGAGTCCACCTGCGTCCCTCCGAAGAACGACCGGGACCCGCAGCGAACACTACGTCACTCCAGCTCGGCTTTCTGAAGCAAACGTTTCCACCGCGGACCCAAACGGTCTCCTCTCTCACATAAAACTCCCTTCAAATCATCGCTGACAATCTATTAACACCTTCTTCTTCCTCCCCAAAACCACAAACTGTTTTTTTCCGTATATCAGGTCTAAAACTTTGGTAAAAACTTGCGACATAAAGAAAAAAAAAGAAGAAGAAGAAGAAGAAGCGTGGATGCATTTCCTTTTAAAGTAGCCCGTGTGCTCGTGTGAGAGATAGTTGGGGGGGGGGCGCTTAGGGGACGAATCTAAAACAACCAAGATGGCGAGAGGCTTGTTGTTTTTGGAAGGGGCAGAAAAAAATGGAGGATATTGTAATATACACAAAGGGATGAATTTCAACAATTCGGCCGAGCCCGCGCGCCTCTCGGTATGAGGAAGCGATAGCGGCTCCGCGGCGGACCGGCCAGCGCGAGCCGCCCCACAAAAAGCTCCCTAACTCTGACCCGACGCCTGCGTGGGTCTGCGTGCGTGCGTGTGTGTGAATATTATAGTTTACGTCCAAGTTAATCCGAACCGAAAGGGAATATTTGTGTATTTGTGTTGGCGTCGAGGGACCGTTGGGTGCGTATTAGCGGCGCGGCGGCGGCGGCTCGCGCGCTGGTTAACGTCCCCCCCCGTCTCGCGCTCTGACGGTTACAAACATCCAGCGACAAAATACACACAAATACGCAACCGAAAACCGCCAGTCACACGGTTGATACAAAAAAACAGACAGACAACGCCGCAGAAAGCGCGTGTGAAAAGTTTAATTCTGAAACATTTGAACAAGTTATCAAAAAGGCGAGAGAGAGAAAAGGGAAGAGAGGGACACAAAGACGATCCCCACTATCAGGTCACCACTCCGGAGAAGGAAAAAAAACACTCCGTTTTTATATTAAAGAGAGGAGAGAAAAAAACTTTACGCATTTGACAAAAATCCACCGCTAAAAAAAAATACAACAAAAAAAAACAACAACCACCGACTCGATCAAAATACACGCGTAAACACGAGAAACTATCAGCCAGTTTTACACACAAGCTCCAAGAAAAAGAAGCGAAGAAAGTGGAGGCGAAGGCGGCTCTCCGCGGCTCATCGCCGGCGCTGTGACGAGGAGCAAAACAGCGGCGGCGAAATAAAACACTTACCTTTCTTTACTTTCGACACTTTACTTATTTCCAACGAGGGCTTTTTAGTTCAACTGTCACTTCGGGTTCGGTCTTCTTCGCGACTCTTTTTTTCCTTGGTCGGTTTTGGTTATGAAAGAGAGGTCGGGGACGAATGATAAAGAAGGGAATTGGCCAGTAATTGAGTCTCGGTGTGTGAGTGAGTGTGTGTGTGTGTGTGTGTGTGTTAGTTACTAACAGCAGATTGAAGGAGACTCTTCTCAAGGTTTATTCAGCTCCACTTCAAGGAACCGACCTGACGTCAGCTCACTACCGCCACACAAAGAGAACTTATTATTTGTGCAGCTCCGTGCTGAGCGGAGGACACAGTTATTGACCGTTATTACTTTAAATGCGACATTGTCGCGGAGCACGCGCAGCACCGGCGGGCCGAGGCGGTAACTTTTATTTATCGCGTTTGTTAGCGGCGTCGTAACCCGCACGGACCTACATGGCGATTATTGGCCACTAGTGTAAACAAATAACGTAATAAATAGGCTACGTTTTAAATGTTTTTTTTTTAAACACGAATGTGTAGGGGGGCTTTGCCCCATGAACGACACAACTTTATTATAACTTTGATCAGTTGGATTCAATATGTTTATGTCGATTATGGTTTGAATTAATGCCTTAAAAGGTGGATTTACAGAAACTACATCACATTCTTCCTGCGTGTAGTATAGCCTTCAATCCTCTTCAGGTGTCACACAGCAACACTTGATTATATTTTCTTTATGGATAGTCCCCTAATAATTACATATCTCGCATTCGTGTTAAATGACTTGATCAATTGAACGGTTTCGTGGCTCGGCCACGTGAAGTTGGTCTCAGGTGGACTCATCGCTGATGAAATACATTTTTAATGGCTGGTTCTGATATTATCATCCACACATTAGTTGCTATACAAATAGCAATTCATTTTCCAATGCGTTCTATGGGGCTATCTATCTTAATTTGTCATGTACAGCTATCTATAAATCCATATATATATATTTATATATCTATCTAAGGTACGGGTATTTGTCCATAGTGATTCCTAGGATTCCTTGTGTGTCCTGCCATTAACTGACCAAATGATGACCCCCTCAGAAGACAATACATGATCACACAAATACAAATGAGTTCCACACAGGCTCTAATTCACGAGGCATTTGCCAAACAAAAAGAGAAATGGGACAGACCTAGCTCGGGATAGGATCAATACGTTGCCTGGCAAAGACAGCCATCTGTGCATATAATTGTATGCTTTACCTCCTCTTCTGAACACACAATAAGCAACAGGCTGAAAGCAGGCCCTCTGACCCAGACTGGGTTTCCAGACGGGGGAAGATTATTTCATTCAACTGGAAAACAACAAGGGGGTGGGGTGGTGGGGATTTTTTTTTTCCTTCTTTTTTTTTTTTGCAGATGGAGTGGGCAACTGTTCTTATACGCCCCACCCTGCCGAGGATGGGGTTGGGTCACGGAGCCACAGCCAACTGGTGTGTGTGTGTCTCTCTGCAAGTCACACCCAGTTGTGTCCATTTCAACGCATATTATGCCGAATTAACAAACAGTTTGCTGTTAGTTTATGGACACCTCATAAATCTAATAGACAACAATGAACTTATTGTTGGTGGCGTGATGGAGCGTTGGTTTACAGGCACATTCATAAGAATGCTTCACAAACATTGTGAATGACCATAAATGTATCCTGTCTCTTCCCCTCGGCTGTTACGTCACCGCCTCCCAAAAGTGTCACGCTGACGGTTTTGATGCCGCTGCAAGAATTGCAAAGATGTTGCTCAGAATTCATTTTTATGTATAAAAAGAAGAGGGGGTGATGGGGGCGTGTGGGGGCGTCTGATAAAACATTCACGTTCGCCCGACTTTAGAGGATGGACACAGAAGCCCTTATTCAGCTTGTGCTGTGCGGCTAAAGCCGTTTCATAAGCTTGCTCTCCATGTTTTTATGTCATTGATTTTCCTCTGTGGCCCTTTCCATTACCTGTTGAGATGGGGTTTTTTTTTTTTGCTCTTCTTCAAAGACACACACAATCCTCTCAATCTGTCTCTCCAGCCACTGGCACCCTGGTGTATTTCTCCATCTCCTCCGCCTCCCGTAGCCGCAATGACAGGCCGTGAGGAATGGCGGCGGCTCTGTTTGTCATACAGTAGCAGCGAGAAGCAAAGATTTTTTAATTGCATTGGAGAATCTTCATTAAAGAGAGCGCATGGGGGCGGGGATGTGGGAGAGGGCGGCGTCGGGGGGCACTCCGAGCATCGTCATTAGGAGAAGGCACTCGCAGCGTGGAAGGGTGGGCCCTCTTTGCATGCACACTCAGAATGCCTGCCGTACCTCGGTCATTTGTAACATAATAAGTGCCAGCACAATGACTGCAATGCGAGAAAGCACACCACAGGGAGGGGAAGGGGGGAAGGGAGACAGCATGTCTGTTTAAAAGAGGGACTTTTTTTTTTTGCTCTTGATTAGAAAGTATAATGAGCAACTAAAGAAACAGGACAAGAAGAAAAAAATCTCTCCTGAGACTGATGGAAAACAAATTAATGTGGTGATTTGGATTTAATTATTATTTTTCTATTAGTCGGCCATGCAAAGACAGGGACAGCCGTCAGAAGCGAGTAGCTGTGCTTGCATTTATTGATTTTTGCCCAGGCAGGGAATACACATTCATCTGCTCTCCTCCCCACACAATCCGCTATGTGGGATTCCATTAACACAAGAAGCTTCCAGCAACTCTGAGATCTTTAATTTGAACACCATAAATGGAGCTTAAAATAATGTTCACGCGCTAGAAAAAGTAGCCTAAGGATGTCTCTTTTTTTAATGCATTGAATTAGGCCTCACTTACTGTTGTGTCCTACATAATAACCATTAAATAAACACCCAATAAATTAAATCAAGACAATGCTCTGCTGTATAGAGTGACTAAAGCGCTATTGTTCCCCTCTGCTGCCAACATCTTACACCGCTATGATGGTTGAGTTTAATTTAATCTTTTGTTTTGGATTAATGTAAGAACCCAGCGACCGGACTGTGATTGTTCTTCCCCTCCGTGTAGTCGCTCCTCTTTGCCGCATCCTTTCAATACATCAGTTGCCTTGAACACAATGCCTCGTGAGATGTAATGATTTGCAAAGTCAACGATTCAGCTTCCTGTGTCGTTAAAGCACAAGGGACCAATTTGCGGCAGCTATATGTGGAACATTGGTAACGCTGCTCATATTCTCTGGCTGATGCAAAATTCAGCAATTATGCCAGATGAACGCCGTTATCGATTGGCGTCCTGCTATCTCCTCACTGAAGACGGTTTGCAATAAATGTAATGGCTTCGACTGTGTGGACCCAATAACAAATATTTGGAAGGACGAGCTACGCCTATTGGCATATGGGAATCCATGCGACACTGAAAGGTGCATTTATTGGTGACCTTTAACCCCGCATAGACTACAGGGAGCAGGCTCAGGGATGTTACAAGTGTTTTTACTTGTCCTAATGTCGGCATTATGAATGACTCACTTGTGAAAACACTGCAGCATAGCACGCCGCAAATGCTAATTGGACAAACTGGACAAAAAGTGATTTGGAGGATCGACTGATAATGTTTTCTGAACTAAACAACCCATGCACAGTCCAAATGAGTGCACTCAGAGAGTGTTTATAGTGGCGAATGTAACTGAGCAGAACCCTCTGTTGCGTGATGTAATACACAGAAGGGAGAAATCATCATAATAGCAGAGTAGTAGAGTGACTCATTCCTTGATGAGGTACATTCACAGTGTCATTCAATGAGGAGATGCATTCTGTGTGCACATGTTGTCAGCGTGTGACCGAGAGGGAGGGAGAAAGAGGGAGAGAAAAGCGGAGAGACAGAAAGAGGGAGCATTAGCATGTTCCTTTTCTGGGAAAGAGGAGTCATTTGTGCCAGGAAAGTTGCGGCTCCACGGTGATGCATCCCTCCACGAAGAATTAGATCACAGACAAATGTCATCCCAACCCGAGGAAAGCCAAACGTCCTTGGATCGAATGAAAACACATCTTTGCCCACGCCGGTGTGTACACGCGACACACTAAAATGTCAGCAGATTTTCCATTTGCTAAATCTGCTCCTAAGAGCAGGGGGTTTAGCGAAGGGTAATCAACCTGGTATTTTCCAAAAGTCCAGGTGAAGCTACCCAGGAGGAGCCCTGCTGTTAAACACAGTTAACTACAGTACTTGTGACTTATTCAACTTAAAATTAAGTGGCGCCATATTCCCCTTATTCACAGCGCCGAAGTCAAGGAGAACGTGTGCACACAGACCTACCAAATGATAGAACTTTCACATTGTGGGACTGTTAGTCTGTTTGGTTTTTGTTTTAGTGGGTGAAGCTGAGGGTATTTTTTCAAAAGGAAATTACCTTCACAGTTGAATGACAAGCTTTAGTGCCTCATTTTATCATAGTTTACTAGCTTTGATTTGTGTCCACTGGACGTATAGTCGACAGTGGACTATATAGTAGTCTTATAGCCCTCTTATAGTGTTGATGTTTTCCTCTCTGCTTCTCTGACCCACATAGAAAGCACGACATTAGTTACGCGCTGTGGTGCCGTTGGAACAGCAGCCCGATTGTTTTATTTTTCAGTTTCTTGTCGCAAAACCCTCACCGTCTAAAAACTCTCGCGTTGCTTGAAGAACTCATGGTCATTACCCGGAATATGATGGTAATTCCATTTAGAGCAGACGTGCTTGTGTTAATTCACCCACTAGTGCTTTGCGACAAAGGTAAGCTACCTTTTATGGGACTCCACTGAAATGCTAATCCGGAGGCTCTAGGCTCATATTGACAGACATCACCGTTGGCCCTAATCAGTCATCAGAGATTTAAACAGTGTTCAGAATCAACAGCCAGAGAGCTCCCTCGTTCTTTTCAAGCATTCACTTTGACAAGTTTGATTTGGCAGCGAGTTCCCGGAGAATTTGGATCAAAGCTCGCTGAATACAGTGAAATACGCCGCGGTGCGTTGAACGTGGAACTCGTAACTAATCTCAAATTAGCCATGCCTTGTGTTACATGACCAGAATTTTTGTGGGAACACCGACTTTAAAGGGACACACAGCACTCATGTGGGTGAGAGTTTGGCCCCTCCAATGGTTGCTGCATTATCCCTTAATATGCAGCAAAGGCAGGCAACTAGAAGAAGGGAAGCATTTGATACGAAAAAAGGACTTGAGGTTGGTAAAGATGACAGTTTCGGAGGCATACTGCGTTGTGAG